TTTTAGATTTGTTTTTGTACTGCATCATATCATATAAGCATTTCATGTGTTTTTTATAGGTAAAAAGTAACATTTTCAGAATCAGAAATACTGTAACAATCCCAAGTGGAAATGTTTTTGTGGCAGTTTTTCCATTACAAGATGAATAAAATAAAATAGAAATAAAAAATAGAATGCTTATATAATATAAGTAATAATGTGCAGTAAAAGATAAGATGTATTCAAATAAAACATAAAGTTAAATGTGTGCAGGCAGGAGGGACTTCCTGTTTGATGGCCACAGGTAGGAAGGACTTCCTGTTGCACTCTGTGGTGCATCTTGGTAGAATGAGTCTTTCACTGAAGGTACACTTGTGTCATGGAGCGGGTGGGAGACATGTCTAAGATGATCCGTACCTCAGAGAGTGCAGCTAACATAGTTGTGGTGTAAAAACCGTGATATTTCACTATTAAATATAGTGGAGTAGAAGTAAAGTAGCATAACATGGAAATACTGGAGTATTCATAACAAAGTCAAAATAGTATTGTTCTTTGGTAAAGGTTCTTTGTTACTTTCCACCACTGAGTCACACACAATCCATAAACAAACCAAACTAAGCACTCAACTGTAATACATCAAGCAACTAATCATCTGTGCGGCATGTGGAGAAATAATCATATGAATCATTTATTTGGTACATTTATTCTTCTAAAAACAAATCAGATGAGACAGTTGCTAATTATTCTAGCTGCTAAGCAATGATTTATCAGACGGATAATGTGAGTAAGTAACAAACCAAAGCCAGCCATCCCACAACCACCAGATTGACCTGGAAGGGTAAAAGAAACGTCTCACTGCCTTTCTGCATGGGCCAAGGGCACTGCGGAAGCCAAATGGGGCTGGCAGCCCACCCTGCACTCACACCTCCGGAGACTTATGTCCTGGAGGTGTGAACCATAAGGCCCCCCCCCCCCAAGAAGAAGCTGGGGTCAAGTCGATGATAACACGGAGAGGAGGGCCTGCCAAGCGTTACCATCAGAGCCAAATGTCTGTCCCTTACACCTGCTCCATTTGTCTTTCTTCATCTCTCTCAGTCGTTCTGTTGTCACACACATTTATCACTCTCTGTCTCACTCACTTAAAGTCCGTTTTTTACCCCCAGTACTGACATTGACCAATTCTCTACAGATTGTCGAAAGCCTTCTTTTCCAAAGGCAGTTCTGGCAGGGTCATATATTACCAGCATGTTGGAGAACATCAATCAGCTCTATATTAGGCTTTTGACTAGCTCTGCCATTTAAAGATGTAAAGAAACAGTGGGAGAAATGGAAACTTTAAAACAATTAATGTATTTCTTAGAAACAAGACTTTTAGATGACATTCATTCAGAAGAGTGAAGTACTCTTAGGCTTGAAATATAATGTCTTCTTCAGTATTTTTCAAAATAAAAACAAATGAGAATATTTGCTCCTCAACAAAAATACAAATGTTAATGAATTCATTACTTACTCAAAATGTATTGAAATTAGATAACCATTATGTTGATTCCTGCAGATGGGTTTCTGATGTCAACTCAAATCATTAGGATTTTGTGAGAAAAGGCTTCTGCATTTTTAACCCGTTCTGTAAATTAAAGGACACACTGGTAATCTCTCTGCGTGCAGATCCAGCTCTGTGTAGTCTGTGCAAGTGTTAATACTACTACTAGCTATACATACTTGTAAAGTCTATAATAAAAGGCTTTTCCAATTTCTCACTTTGTAGGACTGTTATGACCTGGCTCAAAAGGCCACAACAAAGAGGAGACACACCATATCAACGGTTAACAAAATATGTGTATTCAAGCAAGTAAATCAAATTAACCAAATGAATTCAGTGCAAAACAAGTGAAGTATGAGGTGTGGACGTCAGTGGTATCAGTAGTGTACATGCAGGGTTAGGGTTGCATGGACATGTATGTGTGAGGGTGTTGAGGTGCACAAAGTGAAGCAACTGAAATAACTAATAGCATACTCAACAGAACCGGGTGCCTGAATGAGAAAGCAGAGGGAGAACAGAGAGGAGCAGAGAGGCTTTAAATATCTGCAGGGCACCAGACCCAAGTGCCCTGAGTTACTGCAATCAAGGCGGCTGGATGCAGCACAGCCACACCCTCTCCAGATGAACCCACAGGGGCATACGACACTGAAGTTGGCTTCCGATTCAGAGCATCCGATTCGGCAGTTAAGGGGAAAGTTAAGGGACATTTAATTTACAGCGCTGAGCGAACAATCCTCCGTGTTTGAACCTCTTAAAACCTCTTAAATCGCTAGACCTACACTCATCAAATCTGGACTGGATTATCCCAGAGGGTCTAAAGACTATTTATAACACAGTTTGAGATTTGTGAAACCTTTATTCTATTTGTGAAAATACAAACACAGGTGGAAGGCTGAGGTTGCTGCAGCCGGCCAGGATCAGAATCAGAGAGTGAACCTCCCAGCTGGGCAAGCCTTTATGCCTTCTTGTATTTTCACAAATAGAATAAAGGTTTCACAAATCTGTAACTGTGTTATAAAGAATCTTTAGCCTCTCTGGGATAATTCAGTCCAGATTTGATGAGTCTAGGTCTAGTGGTTTTAGATCAGGACCTGGGTTGCGTTCCGATAATCCAAAAATCAGCTCCTAAATTCTAACCCTATCTCCTATTCCTTGACCTCTGAGTGAAACGTCACGGGGTTAAGGGATAGTGGATAGGAGAATTCAAAAGGATTTAGAAGAAGAGACCGCGGTACTTTAGAGAATCCGAATGCACTTTCACTATCCGACGTGTTTATGATGCCCCAGCGGACGTCATGAATGTGCGTCTGCTGCTGCTGTGGGGAAACTATGGAAACTACAGTTTTCTATACAGCGGACTACAACATGGATGTTTAATAAGAACGAGGGACTACTGTAAACTCATCTAGAGACTCTGCACCGTGCTCTGATGCTGTTGCTTTATGCTTTATGAACGTGGACAACAGAGAAACATATTCTTCATGACCAAAGTTGGAATTGAAATAAAAAAGGAAAGTGAAACTTATGCTCGTCACCCTCTCCCTCCGGTCCACATTAATACAAATGATCCCAATACGTATGATTGTATGAAAAGATCTTAAAATAAATACAAATGTATTTATTATAAACGTTAGTCCTTAACATCTATCGCTGTGTATATCACCATTCAAACATCTTTTAAAAGTTGAACAAACCCCACACAGCTCAGTAAAGACTGTGAGATGTTGACTTTATTTGATCATTTCAGTAAAAACTAACGTTCATATTTCTCTTTTTGATTATAATACTGATGAACGTTCAGAAAAAAGCACTTTGGCAACTTACCACATACGTTTTAAAATGCTTAATAAGCACCGTAACTTTCATGATATCATTTCTCGGTCATAATCGGTTGTTTCCGTGAACGGCCGACTGTTGTGATGGCAAATGCTGCGGCTGCAATGCATTGTGGGGCAGCCTTTTCTCCTCTCCTTTCATCAAGGGAGGTCCAGTGGTTCCTAAGCTAAAGGAGGTTATAAAGGAAGTTTGAAACCTCCTTTCCTTTCATTTGGAGAATTGGAACGGCACTTATCATGGCTGCCAGTGAGGGACTTCCGGGTCATTTCACTTGGTTAGGAAGGTTCCTAAGCTAAATGGACTATTGGAACGCAACCCTGGTCTAATGTGGTCAAGATGCGAAAAAAGCACTGAAATCTCCCTTGTTTGTATTTTCACAAATAGAATTAAGGTTTCACAAATCTCAAACTGTGTTAAAGAATCTTTAGACTCTCTGGGATAATCCAGTCCAGATAAATCGGCTATGCAGCGATTTAAGAGGTTCAAACACGGAGGATTGTTCGCTCAGCGCTGTAAATTAAATGCCCCTTAACTTTCCCCTTAACTGCCGAATCGGATGCTCTGAATCGGAAGCCAACTTCAGCGTCGTCAGGGGCATCACAACGACCATGATTTCTTACCAAGCCTCCTTTCATCACATCTCAGTCCCTTCTGCCTCTAATAGGCACAAGGACAGAGGAATCAAGGGGGTGAGGCAACATGCATTTAACAAAATGGTCAGGAGCTCTCATTTTAAAGTAATGTAAATAAAATATGACGTGTGTCACAGCTACAAGAGCCGTCTCAATATTTTATAACCACATTTGTTATGATCACTTTCAAATGAACATAATGACTTAATATATCATTTTAATTGAATTGACATCCTGGCATAAGGTGGTTTGTTATTTCCAGCATTGTTTCCTGCTCTGTTGTATGTCACAGGTGCTGGAAGACTTGTGCAAAGGATCCACCAGTGCATCCTCACTAATAGCGTCTCCAGAAGCTTCCTCTCTTCTCTAGATTTATTTTAGGAATAAAGAAATCCTTCAAAATAGAGTGCTCAGATTGACTTTTGGATCACAGGTCAGGGAAGGAGAGAGGACGAGGAGGAAGGCATGGAGAAATTATAAGAGGGGACAATGGCAACATGATTTCCTTCCCTCTGCTGTGCATGCATTCCCAATTGTAATATCATTTCTGTAAACAAGCCTTTCTCCTGGATTTAAGTAGACATTTCTCCTCAGATTACAATGTCACATTCAGGATCATCAAAATGTGTATAATAATGTAGTATGCAATTTGAACATCTTAACATTTAACCAAATATGTATTCAATTTGAGTCCCAATGGTACTTTTTTATTTCTCTGGGATCATTCGGAAACAGTCATACATGAGCGAAGCTTATGAACTTCTTAAGTGCAGCAGACCAACAACCATTACTCTGAACCACACACAAAACCAAAATAGTTGTTAGCCCTTGGTTTCGAGGAAAAAAAACAAGAATGGTTGAGAACTGGCAGGACTATTCATCAGTGGTTCCTGCTCTCCTTTGAAGTAAATGTATTTTTAACTGAGACATACAGCACCCGTGTCTTGACATCCAGCTCAAACCACGATTCAGCAGAGAACAGAACAGATGTGTTGAAGAAGATAAAGTTTTACCTGCCAGAAGATGCTATCTATTGTGCTGCCCAGGAAGCCATCTCTCGTTTCAGACGACAGCAGTTTGGGTCCAAGGATCGTCATAAACTCCTCGAAATCCACCTGTCCATCACCTGACACACACATATGAAAACAGATTATTTACTGCTGATATTTGCATCTACCTTTCTATGTAAATGAACCTTCTTACAGTTTCATTTCATTGAATCGTTTATTTGAATAGAGACAATGCACATTAATGAAGACTTAAAGGTGGGGTAGGTCATGTTGGAGAAACCAGCTCGAGTGCGCTAGAATTTGAAAATACACAACCGGAACAAATCTGCCACTTCCTTACAGAGCCCCTCCTCCAACACACACGAACGCGCACATGACCAACGAGGGCACGAGATAAGTTTGTGCACAGATGGAAGGCAGACAGGCAGGTAGGCCATCCAGTTACTTTAGCCGGGCCGGCTCAGATGATTGGTCGTGCTTTTTACAGCGCTACGGCTTCCAGAGATGACTTTTTCTTATGTATTTATTGTCAAAGCATTTAATATAATCATTGCTATCGGGATGTTAAGAGCATTCCATGGAATATAACAAGTGTTTCTGAAATAAATGACATACCCCACCTTTAAGACAAATAATGCTTCAAGTGTAAAAATGCCGGATGTTAGTTTTGAGCTCATTTCCATCCGTAGTCCCTCACATACAACATATAAGAACATGACATTTATAAACATAGCAAAAAAATAAATACATGATATGCAGAAAGAGCATGAGCAGCACACAAGTATTTATGACATGGTAATACAATATAGCAGCAACGACATATAAAGTGCAAGAGAAGATACAAGAGATGCATAAAGTGCAGGAGGAGATAACCCCGTATTAAAGTGCGTTTAGACGTCTGTTTGTTTCTCAACCATTCTTTGAGTTGACCTTTGAAGCTACTGAGAGTGGGACAATCCCGTATCTCAGTAGGGAGGCTATTCCACAAAGAGCTGCCTTTAATGGAGAGGACATTTTGACCAAAAGTGGTCCGTCTACGGTGGACTTCACAGTCTCCTCTGGTTTCTGACCTAGTGCAGCGTCCAGCTGAGACCATCCTGCATATCACAAAGGTGATAACAAACCAAACGGCACTCATCCCAACTATAATCTGTTCTTCTGTGAACTGCAGAGGAATATCCAGCCTTCATAACTGAAGAGTCACTTTTCTTTGTTTACAGATTTGTCACCTAAGGCTCTGTGTTCACATAGGGTCTATTTTTGACAGAAAGGGACAGGCAGGGTGCTGGGCAGAGCCTCCTCCAAGGTTTTCATCACAAAAACACTTGTTGTTTATCTTGATTACAACAATATCTTATCACACTGTTGTATGACTGATGAGTTTGGCCCCCTTGGATTTATTATATGTTTGTGCTACTATTTATTTGTTTGAAATGGTTGTTTTCATCATGAACACCAACTGGAGGATTCTTACTCTCTCCCTTTGTCACTCTGTGAGCTTCACCGCTCAGTCTGACAGCTGAGTGAGGAGGACGATCCACATACAGAGATAAAGTCACAACATCACCGGCAGCCTAATTCAGGGTCTGCCAGACAGATCTGCACAAACAAATGAGCTTTTTGGTCTTTGCTGTGAAAAAAACACGCTTTGAAACACTTTTACTCGCGGCGGCCACTTGCAACAGCATGCATTCTGTTCTCATTGGAATCCATTGAAAAAATACGCTGGTGCTCAAGAAAAGGTGCTTTGTGGATATAGGACCTTAAAGTTTGGGCTCAATGTTCCCATGTTATGCTGTGGGAAAGTTACGTTCAACATAAACACAACCTCACTGGTTCAATGGTTTGAAACATGCTGCACATTCAGGTCTTAAAAAGAGAAGCCCCAATAAGAGAGTGACTTAAATGAGGATTCTCTCCACAACAAGGGGGGAAACTACAGGTTGCAAAAAGATATCAGATTGTATAAAAGCCAGGGAGAAAATGACCTTACTTCTCACTTGATTTATTGCCTAATTAAACACTTTCGTATTGGGTTGATGGTTGTTTGTATAATGATCCCATTTAGAGTGAAATATGCGATAAGGCAGTGTGTGCATGTCTCATGTTTGTTTTGACGCCTGTTTTGACTGTCTGTCCTGGCCTTATTAGTTCCACCTGTTCCTCATTAGCTCCTGTACACCTGCACGTTATCCCCTCATTAGTTCTGCTCGTATTTAAGTCATGTTCTTTCTGTTTAGTCTTTGTTGGATTCTTGTTTGTTGTGATTGGTAAGTTGTGTTCTTTTGCCTTGAATAATAAGATTTGAATAATAAGTGCTCCCTTGTCTTGCTTTGGTCCACCCTGCTTCACTTACCTGACAGCCATGTTGTTTACAATTTGGGTGCTGTCTGTGTTTTGGCTATACAATTTAAAGTCTTTCACAATGTATTTTCAGTTCATGGAAAATAATTGTGACATTATGGTCACCTATCGATATCTTGTTCAGCATTAAAAAAACAAAATGGCGAAGACCAAACCGTCTAACTCAAGGATTCTGAGCCGTAGTCCACAAACACATAGGTGACATCACTGTGATTGAACTTGATACAGTATATGGTTTGGAGTGAGAGGCTAACTGGCTACACTGGGTGTTGAGGGAAAAGTAGACCGTGAACCTTCCCTAGAATAAACCTAGCAAAGACATCATTGATACCTTAAGGGTTGCCAAAGTTTTCCTGCAGTTTACTTTTGTTATAACATGCTATGTTTGGGCTTAAAGGGAAGTATGAATATTGTGTGTGTCTTTGTTGTTTAAATCCAAGCCCAGCAAGCTTCAAATCATACAGTGAAATTGACCACAAAGACAAAAATAAATAAATAATGAGCTCTGACTTCCTCTATCATTGTGGATATGAAAAAGATCAAAGTGCCAGCTCCTGTATCAGACACAACATGAAAACTCTGCGGATAGCAACACATTCAAAATTACCTTTATTTTCTCATTTTGATCTTTGAGTGGAGAGTTGTTATAAGCCCGCTCTTAGTGTTTTTCTTAGGTTTTTATAAAAAATAGGGTGGACCGACAGCTCACTTGCTTTTAGAATAAGTGAATTTGAAGCCATGACAAATACAACCTAAAGTAAGAGAATATCAGCAGCTGAACAGCAAAGATAACATACATTATTATTTACTATCTTTTATTCTTTTAAAACCCAGGTTGTTTGCTGTCTTTTATTTTACACCTGTCTTAATCTCCCACCTGTTCTCTCTGTATCTGTGTCAGGCACATTGTCAGATGTAATTTACCGATGCAGGAAAACTCATAATGTTTGCTGACCTACAGTAGCTCTGATCCTGCTCCAATTGTGCCAGCAACTCTTGGGCATACTGACACTGTAACGTTAAATGCCACACTCACTGCAATTGTAGCCATGTATATTCAGCAGGGCCAGATTCTGAGATCCTAGCATGTCGGGTGGAGGATGGATGGATGACAGTAGAGATAAGGTGATTGGGTTAACAGGTTCAAGGTTAGACAGGATGACTGAATGGAACGTGAAAGGAGTTTAAAGTCCTGTTTTGTATGGTTCTCACTGCTCTCATCAACCCTGAGTCCAGCAGCTAACAACTCCTGACAAAAAGGCTGTGTACTCTCTGCCCAGGAACAAATAGCAGACTGATAAAGTTAGAATCCACTGTAGCTGATAAGGTCTGTAAGATCTATAGAGCTAAAGGATAAGATGTTTTACAAAAACATTTTTAGAATTTCAGCTGGCAAGAAAAACAGACTTGGTACCATTGGTTGGACCATAGTTTTTCGTTTAGTTTGGCATTTTTGCAATTTGCGTTGTATTTGTACTTGGGAGCCAGAAGGGACACTGGTTGAGTACAATGGCCAGACAAAATGGTCACAATTAACTTTCATGAATGGAAAACAGTGTGAAAGGGTTAAAGTTGTAAAACAGAAACGAAGAAAACACCTTGGTAGCGACCTGCCAATCACAAAGAAGCCGCGCCCTAAAGTATACCAAGATGCTATACTTAAAGGTGCTCACATTAAAAAAATATCAAGACTTTAGTTTAGCTAAGTAGATGACACTTATATTTACATTACTATTTCACCTGGGGGAATAAGGTCCAATACAAGCCATCAGTAAGTTCATTGAACAAATCAATGGTCAGATATGACGGAACCTTTTTTAAATTAAAGATAAAACTGAGGTACAGTAATTGGTTTTAGGAGCCAAAGAACAGCTATTAAAAATCGGCGGTCAGATTCAATCGGCAATGTTAAAACCACACAATTAGACATCTACAAATTCGGCTTTCATCTATCCATCCATCCGTCCATTTTCAACCTCTTCTCTGGAGTCAGGTTGCGGGGGAGCAGTTCCAGCAGAGGATCCCAAACTTCCCTTTCCCTGGCCACATCAACCAGCTCTGACTGGGGGATTCAATTGTTTTTTATAGAGGTCTTTGAGTTGCCTTGTGTGGAACATCAATCAATGTGTCCATTATAATTCAAAGCAGCTGCTTTAGACGAGTCTCCTCCTGAGTCATGTTGCAACAAGCATTTCTGTTTCAGCTTGAAATAGAAGGATAAATGATTACAAAAAAGATGCAAAATCCTTCTCCGTTTAGATACAGACAAACAATTTGATTAAATACAAAAGGGAATACAACTAACTGTTGGTCCCTGATGGTCATTTAATACAAGTCTAGATCCATATTTATAGTTTGGATTCAAAGAGAGAACAATGGCATCAAGGTCATTGACACCAGAAGAAAAAGAAGAACATGCGTAGTCTACACTTTGGTGCAATGCTGTGATCTGGAACAAAGAAGAGTATTCACACCTCTCCATGAAGGGCATGGTCAGCTCAATAGCAATCACATGGATAGGCTGGACAGCAGAGACGAGTGGAGCAGATCATTGGTCGGTATCTTCTAGAGATCAGCTGGACTTGGCCGCTGGGCTCACAATCAATGGCTGTGACCGCGGATCCAATCCTCACAGCAGTGGTGCCAGTAGGGGGGGCCATGGCCACCCTGATATATTTGTTGGCCCCCCCACCACACACACCGCCTCGCCAGTCACGTATGGTAGTAGTTTATCTGATATTTAACAACAAAT